GGCAGGCGCTGGACAGGAGGCCTCGCTGCAGGTGGCCGGCCAGCCCGTAATGAGGCTGAGGGGGTGCCCCAGGGAGCCAACCCCAGCCGGGAGCAGCCAGCTGTGTCCGATATTTCCTGAGAGGACTCTGGAACCTCGAAATCGCGGCTTTGATTTTTCGCACCCCCAAAGTACTGGGGAACCACCCTGGTGCCTCCTCTCCAAGGGCCAGTCCCCACCATTCTCCCATCCCCCCTAGACCAAGGCGCCGCCCTCCCGCCCGAAATTCGTTCCTCTTCCCCTTGGCATTTGGTCCGGGTGCTGCCGAGCCAACGTTCCAGGCCTGAGCCGCCGCCAGAACCCGATCCAGCTCCAGCACCGCACAGGTGTCAGCTTGAGCGGGCATTATGTAATGGACTTGGCAGCCCGGGCTCTTACCAAACGGAATTAAGGAGGGTGAGTTGTTTTTTTCTTTTCCTTTTTTTCTTTTTCTTTTTCTTTTCTTTTTTCTATTTTTTTTCTTTTTACTACATCTGGTGTCAGGTGTACTTGATCCGCAGCAGCAGGTGTGTGTTTTTTTGTTTTTGTTTTTTTCTTTTTCCCAGAAAGACCAAGCGGAATGGCGGCCCAGGTCAAAGGGGTCCCAGAGAGGGGCCTCAGGCAGGCCTGGGTCCTGGGATGATCCCCCAGCGTCCCCTCCCGGAGCGCCCACCTGAGGTCCCCAGCAGCCAGAGCTCGTGGCCTGAAGTCGAGGCGCGAGGGGAGTGAGGGGTTGCCCGCCCCCCTCTATTTTCTAACAGAAGTCCCTCTGGTAGAAACTATTAGGTTCAACCCCATAACTATTTGCCTTTTATTAGCCTACCAATTCTTCTGGGAGTGTGGGTGAGTGTGAGTTAGGAGGCAAAATCAAGAGACTGTAGGTGAAATACTCATTAGGCGACAGGGAGCCCCGCCTTCACCTCCATAGCTTTACCTGAGAGCCGCATCTGCGGCGCAGGTCTCTAAAAATCAACCAGAGGGATCCAGTTCGGGACCGTTTCTAAGGTGCGAAACCACGGAACTATGGCCCAATTAGAATTAAAACCATTTTACCAATTGTGGTAAGCTGTAGAAGAGGGTTGCATATACCATCAGCTTTCATTTTATTAGGCAGTAACGAAAGAAAATTTAGGAATGTTGGTATTTCCCTCTCCGAACCTTCAGTTTCCTTGTGGGCACCTTCATGGCATTCAACGCCAAAGGCTGGTTTGTACCTTTAGAAACCAGAGGAAGGGTTTGAGCCTTAAGGAGTCAGATGCTTAATTTTGGAGAGTGAGCTTAATTTTAAATGATAAAATAATGTTTACCTGAACAACTCAAAGACTAAATCTGGTTCTCTGTGCTTAGTTCTAATAGGACTAATTTATTTTATTAAAGGTGATATGAAGGTTAAAAAGCAAAGGCCTGAAGAGTTATGACAATAACGGTGAAGGCAGTGACCAGGGACTGGTGTCCAAATGGTTTCTTACAGGAGATCTGGGAGATTTGGGCATGGTTCCCAGCCCCTTATTTCAGACTGGCGAATTCAACTGAAAGCTCACACTCACAAAGACTTGAGTTGCAACTACGAAAATACAAACAAGTCTCTCTCTGGAGCAGCTTTCATTTACAGAGATAAGGGTGCCAGGTAAAGGTGGAAGACCCTTTACTCGGATAATTACACAACCCCAAAGTGCTCCTGCCCCTCTCTGTTAACTGTAGCACGACCCTAGTCATGACTGCCTGTAAATGAGATTTTTAAAAATCTTGTAAATGATAAGCAGGGAGAAGAGTGATATCTGCAGGGGAATTTTTAAAGCAAAAATTGAACTAGCTCCATTAAGCATATCATGCTCAAAACTGTTTAGTAGTGAATTCTTCCTTTCCTTGATGCTGAAGAAGCCAACGATTGTTATCACTGGAGCTCCCAACAGAAAGAATCAGGATGCAGTACCCCTTACTCCTACCCCATGAGTTTCTTCATGAGTCCCATTTGCTGGATCTTATCTGCCAGCTGAAGATCCTGTAGTGATCTGGGTAGGTACCAGCCCTGACATGCAGCCGTCTGTTCCTGGATGGAACTTGGAAACATACCAACATTTTTTATGCCAAAAGGACAAAATGATTTTGCCCTGAATCAAGTTGTTTTCAAGCTACCAGTCCTGTCTAATCACGTGGTACTTAAAAGACTAATAAACTTAAAGCAAACACTTCAGTGTGGTAACCACTGAACTAGTTTAGGTTTGGGGCTTTTCCTGAGCCCCGATAAAGGGTCCCTGAAAAAAGAGCAGGCCATACATCTTTGAGGCATAAGTGGCTACTTGTGTCTAATTGAAGCCTTTGGAGGCATTTTGCTAGCAAGGAAGAAAATCTCTCTGAGATTTTAGATGACTAAAAAAAAAAAAGAAGGAATTTAACTTATAAACTTGGCTGTTTAAAATATAAAGAAGATAAGGTTTGCAAACTACCAAGCATTATTTAAATATAACCCAAAGTTTCTTTAACCCTCCTCTACCTTTCTTTTACATTGATTGTACTGTGCCTCAAAGCTGAACCTCATTGAGCCGCCTCCCCCTCCTCCGGAGAACCCAATTCTAAGGCTTTGTTAGATGCAAACACTGGCTAATAATTTCAAAGAGGCAAATTCTCTAAAATGATATCCAATAAGCAAAGAAATTAACTCCTGAGCAATTGTTAAATAATAAGGGGATGAGTTCTATCTCCATCATACCATTGTATTAAAGCCTGAACATTGCCCTTATAAAAATACCTATTTCTAAACATGTGGCTGATCCATGGGATGTGGGGATAACCCCCTCATCCTCAGAAATCCATCCCCAAACGGCTCGGATGCAGGAGCACTGGGGTGCGGATGTGCACAGGGTGTGCGCTCCTGGCACAGTGACCCGCAGGGCAGGCTGAGCCGGGTTCTGCCTGCTTCGCACTTCCTCTTCTCTCAGGGGGCTCCAAAAGAATTTTTAAAACTCCACCAAAGATTAGTAAAACATGATCCTCATTTAAGATATTGTTCACCAGCTCATTTTCCTGAAGTGAAATATTTTTATTTGCCTAAAACTAACATAAGTTGTAAAGAACAACCTCATTTGTTCCAGTTTTCTTCAAAACTGTGGTGGGAACAAAGTAGCACTATTTTATCATCCTTATTATGGAACAAGATTTGGCAGGTTCTAAAACATACAAAATGTTCTAATTTAATGTTCAGAGACTTTTTATGTGCCACAGAATAGGTCTAAAATTCTATAGCAATAATACCTTAACTAAATACACAAATACATTATTGACTAAACCACCTAGTGTGGGAAAAGGGGGACAGTTATCATGACCTCATTGCTATTATTTAAATTAAATTGTTTTGGAAGTTATGCTTGTTAATAAAAACCTTCTCCCTGCCCCGCAAGGTTTCTCCACCCCATCTGGCATTTTATGAGATGCCACACCTTAAATGTCAGCAGAATTGTTGAACCTTAGGTAGTCTATTGTATCTCATTGTACAGTTTTTCATTGTACAGATGAGACATTGTGCAGTCTCATCTATAGGTCAGCAAAAAAATACAAAGAAAAATTACCATATTTAAGGATAGTTGCTTGAGAAAATATAGGTATTTATGAGTTTAGGGTGTTGGTATTCAAACTTTTTCTCTTTAAAAGTGTGTGTGTGTACACAGGATTTTATAAATGCTTGTGCCTAACCTCTGTAGTATCCCTGTGTTTGTACATTAAAAGCTGCCATGTAATCATTCCATGGGGCTGCCTTAATACGTTTAACAGAGAACGAATGGGTCGTCAATGTCGAAAAGCATGCTCCTATTTTTTAAATCCCGTCGCTGTAATGAATCGGTTTTGTACCAATCTGGGACTTCCATCTTTACCCATTGTGGATGATCTTGTCCCAGAAAACTATTTCAACCACTTTTGGTTCCTGACCATTGCTATAATGCCCCACGTCCTTTTCTGCAACTACTTTTCGTTTTTTAGCCTTTTTTTCGTATTTAATAATAATCAACAATCCTTGCTGTATAGAAACTCAATTGAAGTGATCCGGTGAGCTCTCGCCTTGGTCCTTGCTACGAACTATATCTCAAATATTGGATATGCTCGGACTTTGTCCAGGACTCCAAGCAGCAGGATATTGAAGCTACTTTTTCGGTATTTCACTCTTTTTCTAGCCTGGAGAGTGCGCCCCCCCCCAACACACTTCTGTATAAAAACAAACAAACAAACAAACAAACCCAAGATGAAGGTGTGCCCCAAAAGTGAACAGAGAGACGGGGTTGTGGCTGAGCCTGGGTGGTGCGAAGACGCCCCAGTGAGCAGCACCCGCTCCAGGACTATGGCTAAGGTGGGCGCCGGCGGCCGGGATGAGGACGCGCGGGGAATGTGCGGGCTTCCATCTCCTGTCTGAGACGCAGGCGAGGGTAGCCTGGCGCTCAGGAAGGAAATCAAAGTTCCGTAGAGCTTCGAGCCCCTAGACAGCCACCCCTGTGCGAGCGGAGAGCTGAGCTCCAGCGTGCAGCGGCCTCGGGCTCTCAGTCTGCCGAGGTAGAAGCTCTTGAAGGGGGTCCCGCGGCGCTTTTGTACTGCCCCGCCTTGGCCAGCCGCGATCTGACGCACAGGCTCCCCCGGGACTCTGGGGGCGTCGCACAGCAGCTGGGTGGGGAGCAATTTATCCCTCGTCGACCCAACCCAGCCCATCTTTGGTTACTTCACCCTACTCCTCCCAACCCTCCTCCTCCTCCTCCTCCTCCTCTACCTACGCCTTCACCACCTCAGATTCTCCACCTCCTCTTCATCCTCCATCCCCCTTCTACTTCTCCCTCCCTCTTTCCCTCCTCCCTCCCTCCTCCCTTCCCTCTTCCTCTCCCCTCCCTCTCTTCTCTGAATAAGCAAGCTTTTGCCTCTAAAAGTCACAAGTAATCCTCCTATGTGACAGAGAGAGAGAGAGAGAGAGAGAGAGAGAGAGAGAGAGAGAGAAAGAGAGAGAGGCGAGAGCCTGCCGAGAGAAGCGGCAGACAGGAGGGAAATCTGGCACAAGGGCTGAAATCAGGCACAACGGCTGGGAGAGAAAACTTGACGCTTCTGGGCCACCATTTGAAAGGGCCTCGTTCGAGGTAAGTACTCTGGGGGCAGCGGAGTTCGATTCCTGGCAGGGTCCAGCCTCCGCCCAGACCCAATGCCCAAGAGGTGAGCACCATTACCTGGGGCTACTAAAATAATGATGTACACGGGGGTGGAGCGTGGTCGGCAGGCTCCAGACGGAGAGCCTGGACCCAGAGGATGCTTTGCGCCTAGGAGGTTGGACCCTGTGCTCTTGCCGTGGGGCACCCTGTGCGCCCTGCAAGGATTCCAATCGACTACGGGGGGCTCCCAGCTACCCGATTCCCCTCCCTATGCTGCGCGTTCCCACAGCTCCCCTCTATAACACGAACGCGTGCAAATGAGCCCCTGCTTTATCATGAAGTGACAATTTGCGCACGGCTCAGACCTTGGAAAAGGAAAGTTAGGCTGGGGCTGTGCAGCTCTGCGGTTCCCTAGAACCTAAACTGGGAATCCGAGACTTACGCAGGAAATTGAGTTTTCCTTTAAAAAAAATTACCTTTAACGAAAATGTGTATCTATTCAAAAAGATTATTGGATTACTATGTCTGATCAGCTGCTGATGACCTACCAATAAGCGTTTTAAACACACACGCACATTCTCGCGCGCGCGCGCGCAGACACACACACACACACACACACACACACACACACACACACACACCAGGGACTATGTGCAGTGGGGAAGGCCGTCATAAGTAACCAAGAGTTCAGAGAGTTGCGAGGGCTTTTAAATGTGTAAAGGTTTTACATGTGTCCTCCATGTGTACGGGGAACAGAGGAAGTAGGCAGTGGGAGCGCGCAGTTGGCTCGGCGTTTTTTTCTGTGCCTGTGTGTTTCGTGTGTTGTCAGCTGGCTCAGGTTTCTAAGCGCTGAACGATGCCAGGGGCGGGGGCCAGCATCCACCATCCACCTCGGCACCCTAGTGGCGAAACAGGACTCATTTGTTTGGTGCAGAGCGGTGACGACCTAGAAGAGACTGAAGTGTGGTTAGGTCGGCCCCCTGCCATCCATTACACCTGCTGCAGATGGCTCAAGTGGTAGTATGGTTTTGTTTGCGGGGATCAAGAAGGGAGGAGGAGGAGGCTAGAGCCTCGCCCCACTATTAGGAAGTACCATAAAGAACCAAAGACATGAAAGAAGCCATATTTTTACCATCAAAAGCAGTAATATTGCTGCGATCCATGAGTGAACCTAGGACATGTTAGTGACCTTGGTGCCTGACCCCAATTGATGACATAGCAAAATTTTAGGACTATTTTTTAATGAATTTTTTATGAAGTGCCTACTCCTACATACATACAGACACACGTCTCCAACCAGATGCACACAGGTGCCCTTAGAGCTATACTCCCTGAAGCCAAACCTCATTGAGCCCCTGCGGATTTCACCACAGCTGAAAGCGAGGCCACTCTTGACTCCAGACTCAGGAGCCTTTCCCCTCTCCCCAAGCGATGTATGCAATCAGCCAGCCAGCTGTCACACACAAGTACACCCTGCCCAGATAAACACCTAGGTGGGATTTAGCAAGGTTTCAAATGTACCCAGCTTATTTTAACATGTAAAGGTGTGCCTTTCTGATCAATATTCTCATCCTTGCAACCCTTCCTTCATGCTCAACTACGAAAAAAGGAAGTATATACACACCCCCCCCACACACACACCCTTCCAGGCATGCCCACTGAGAGGGCAGGTGTGACAAAGGAACACAGACAATCTAATGACAGTTTATTTAGCCTGTCTTCATTCCTTAATTTTCTTGCTAAACAACAGGTATTAAAAGAGAAATATATTAAGGAAGACCTAAATATAATGAGAAGCCTTGTCTCCACCCTTATTTCACAAACACATCATCACAGCAATCACGGATATTTCTCGTGGACTAAGAATCAATTTCACTGGCTTAATTTTCTGTTCTAAATCAAGAAACATTCCTGTAATTAGGGTTTAATATGCTTATGCTTGGGAGGTGATTAAGAATACAGAGAATCCCATCATTTGACACTTAAATTCTATTTTTCTATTTCCTTTAAGGCTAATCAATAATTTTAGAGTCAGTAAAATCAAAGAATATCAAGCAACAATAAGAGCTCATTCTAGCTAAGATTTTCAAGCCACAAATAAAGATACATTCTAGAAACCAAATGCTTCCAAAGTAAGAAAAAAAATTCAATCCTGCATTTTTTCAAGGTGCTTTCAATACCCAAAGACACCTCAGAACTGGGTTTGTTTGATGGGTGCTTGCTGTGTGCCTAGTGAAATTTAATTTTTCTGTAATTATTTTCCTGTTAAGACTTCTATTTTACAAGGAGAAAGTTGACTTTGATATGCAGTAGGATGCAGGATAAATTGAGAGATATGCCATTAGGATATAGCTCTATTTTATTCATTATTAGTAATACAGGTTTATTCGTCGTACATACATACTGCTAAGGGCCTGCTCTGGGGTGTGAATTCACATATCACCAGAACACATTTGTACACACATGCAGGAAAATAAACGCTTGCAAAATTGATTTGAGGAACAGACTCTTTGAGCATTTTAGGAATTTGTTTTAATTAACAAGAGAGACAGAGACTTGATTTAGATATTAGGGGCACTAAAAGAGTCTTTTTTTACTCAAACAAAACAAAATGAGCAAAACTTTTGCAATTTTAGAGAATGCAGACTAAAATTTAGCTCTTACCAGACCCCTCCTTTTCCACTTTAAACCCTTGTTCCAACCATTATCTATAAAGCTAAAGAAAATAATTTCTAAGGTGAACGGGAACTTTCAGTGAAAAGTTTGTGTTTTTTAATTCTGGGATTTTCAATGAGTAATATTTTAAATGGGAAAATCCCAAGGATTCAAGTAAGTTCAAATACTCCAATCTTTTTAGGAAACAATGATTTACTGTTCAAGCAACTTAACACCCAAATCACATTCAATCAGGTTTCCTGGGCCCAGGTGAGCCTCAGAACCTAACACTGGGAGTGGAGGCATCCAAAAGGCAAGGGGAAGCTGAGGTCCCTCCTTCCTCCATCCATGGGTGGCACCTCCTACCCCTCCTTTTCATATGAAATGGTTATTTCATATGAACAGATAAGATTGGTAGAGAAAGAAAAATTGTAATTCAAGGATTGATTCCTTCCACCCTTATCCTTGCTGGGTTTTCCTCAGGCCTTGCCATCCACTGGCACTTTCTCCCACCTCTCCCAACCTACGCATTTACTAGTACATTTAGCGGGAGAGTATATATATATATATACACACACACACACACACACACACACACACACACACACACACACACACACATCTCCATCCATCCATCCATCCATCCATCCATCCATCCATCCATCCATATCCTTAGGTCTCGAAAACATCAGCACCACCCCAGATTTGCCTCTACTTCCGGTGTAATTGAGATCATAATTCTGAAAGAAAAGCTACCAAATCTCGATCTCCGGCGGCGGTGAGGGCGCGCTCAAGGTGCCGGATTCTCGCGAGCCGGAGGCTCGGCGGGTCCGCGTGCCTGGAGCCAGCCACTGCACGTAAGTCTGTGTCTTTCAGTCGCACATTTCCCCTTCTTAATGAACCCTTCTCGTTGCCTAATTTGTAAACATATCATCTTTAGTCAGCACTGAAATGGGGGTGGAGAAGAAGAGGCCTGGGTCATGAACCCGAAGAGGTCAGGGCTTCAACTTCCTCCTGGGTTTCTCAGCGGACCGAGAGGAGGCGGCCAACTGCGTCTCCGGGTCCCTTTGGTTCCCCAGAAGGAAAAACCTCGGGCTGGAGGGCGCGTGTGTCCGCGCTAGTGTGCAGTCCCATCCTACAGTCCCTCTAGGGGGTCCGTAGAAGCGTAAGTTTCGCCCTTCCCAGGGAGGGCGAGGCCCAGAGGGGCGGACCGAGCCTTGGGAGCAGATTCCTGCTGCCTCCCAAGTCCACGCATCCCCGCACTTGTCAGCCCAGGGCCGCCCCGACGGCCCCGACGCCGTGACCGCACGGCCAGTAGGTGTCGCTGTTCCCCTGCTGGCAGGAGCCAGGAGCCCCGCGCTGGCCCCCAGCGCCGCGCAGCCTCCCGCGCCGGGCGGGTTCACAGACCCTCTAGGCCTCCCGAGAGAGCACCGGGGCCTCCCGCGGCCTTCCCCTGGCTGATCTGGCCAGGGCCGCAGCAACACTGGCCGGCCTAAAGGAGCGCCCTCGAGGAGGGATAAAAAGAGAGGTGCCTACTGGGGCAAAACACGGGGCCCCGACGGAAGCAGTTCGAAGCCACCAACTCTCTCCTTTCTCTTCTCTTCACGTGCTGTGGTCAGCGACCCAGCACTGGGAGCATCCTAGGAAAACCCAGAGCCGGGATAGTTCACCCGGACTTCACAACCCTCTTTAAATATAAATAAGAGGTTGAAACCCCAGCTTCGTGGGAGCTAGCCACAGGAAGAGTGGATTGGTTTCCATTTCTTGCCTAGGCGGGGGGAGGGGCGGAGGGAGGACAGGAGGGAGGAAGGGAGGAGAGAGAGAAAGAAGGAAAGAAAGAAACCTGGGCCTGGCCACAAGCGTGAGCTACGTACCATCCTTTACAGTCGTCTGCACGCGGACATGTCGGGTAACGACGACAGCCCCCTCCCCCAGCCCAGGAAGGAGTCAGTATTTGGACGTGGTTGTCTTCCCCCAAAGCATTGCTTGCCAAGTATTATTCCTCTTCGGAAACCTAGCGGTTAGCACGTCTTGGGAATCTGGATTGAACTCTAGGTATTGAGAATTCTACGCCCTTCTCTGGCATCCTGCGGCTCCCTGCCTTCGGCCTCAGTGCGCCGCCTAAGAGATTATTAATCAGAGGCGTTCTTTTTGTTTGTGTCTCAAAAGGAGGGGGTTCGGCTTTTGAATACCGAGAGGGACATTTACAATGGGTACATCCCATAGGTGACTGGAGATTTTATTTTGATTTCGATTGTTTTGTACAAGGAAATCACTACTGCGGTTTGAAAATAGGGAGGGCGATCGCCCTGCAAACGTTAAATTCTTCTTCTGGA